GAAACCAGCTATTCTGTTTATTTTCGATACTGTAATATTAGGAGACGTTTATTCATGAATTAGAATCATATGATTAGAATTATTTTCGATTTACGTGTATTTTTTATGAAAGAAAATACTGTAGCGAACCACGAACCATGATTCGAATCTAGGTACTAAACATCCCCTTAGTTTCATTATCTGTTGGTGATGGATGAAAATGGATTCAGTTTATACTCAGACACTAAAAATTTATTCATTTTACTGATTTAAATTTTGTTATAGTAAAAAGTTCTCATAAATAATCACATCTAAAGTATAAATAATTTTACATATGAGGTGATATAAATTTTTAATACAAATATGTACGGATTTAAGTGTTAAAAAAATTAATTCGATAGTTAAAAGCATTTGTTTAACTAACGGATCAAAATAGCATCATCTATCCTAAAGATTCATTTTTTTTTTATTTTATAAAAAGAAATAAAACTTATCCATAAAGATATTCCCAGATAATAATAATATTGACGTAAATAGTGTGCTTGTGCATGCAAACAGCTTCGCTGACAATAGACATCAACGGGCTGGAAAAATACAATAATAAGAAGAAAAATATGTTGTGTTTTTGTCATTTGAGCAATACGAGTATTCTTTCTCTTCAAAAAGAAAAAAAATGTTGTACCATTAAATTACATTTAATATACTAATCTATGCTTTTTCAGTCAACATGCGAGTTTGACCTTAAAATTACAAACAAAAAAAACGGTGAAAACAAATAAAGAAACATCAGTTTAAGAAAAAAAAAAAAAAACTAATATACACTATTAAGAAAAAGAAAAATAATAAAAAGAACCCTAATCCTCTTCTCATCTCACCCCATCCTGGCTCTCTCAACAGCCACCCTCTTGCCACTCTCCTCTTCCCTTCTCTTCTTATTTCTATCCGGCCTCGTCATCCTTGCAAACCCTCCCGCAAATTATATTATATATAAATATTTTAACATCTTTACTTTTGTTCTTTGTGTGTGTTCTTATTTATTATAATTTTAAGGTCGGCTTTATTTTAAAATGTTAAAATAACAATCAACGGCTAAAAATAATCAAGAGGTAGTTACTTTTGTAAATAAAATTGGATGGAATCAATTTTCTCTAATTTTAATATCAATCCACGGCTAAGAATTGCACAAATTAAAAATTTATTAAAAGCAAAATCTTGATAAATATCTTTTAAAAATGTATGAATCTTAATTTTTATCTCTTATTATTGATTAATATTTATTTAATTAAATACATATATTAACAAAAGAATACTAATTAAGAATAAGGGTAAAAATCTACCTCCATACACTTTTAAAAATAAGTCTAACAAATTTCTCTTCTTTTTTTGTTTTTTTTGTTTTTTTTTAAACTTCTCAGTTAAACTAATCATTTATATATAGCCGGCTGGATCTATTTGCCACGTGGAGGTCGAATCATCTAGCCGGCTGTATAGAATCAACTTCCTCTAATTTTAATTATATGTATATTTTTATTTGGATAGGATATAGATATGTTCAAACTTATATTATTAATATTTAACCAAATACAGCCTGTATTTGTATTTTAAGGACATTTGGAGGTGATGGTGGAGCCACTTTGGGCGTGTGCTGCTTCCCTTCCCCCGACCTAAGGGACTCCTTTAATTTCCTTCCCCACTGAAATTTGCAATTTCTAATGTTTATATTGGATTTTTTTTTTTTTTAGTTTGAGCTTTGACTTTTTAAGTATCTAACACTGGAGATGTAAAATCCATACCTAATAATAATTAATAACTATGAGAGAATTTGGTTTTTTTTTTTTTTTGGGCGGGAGTATTTCGTTGCCCCGTTTCATTGTTTTGTTTTATTTTTATTTCTTTTTTTTTTTTTTGCTTTTCACTGCTTTTTTTTTAATTATTTTTTACCATCTTCCTTTCTTTCTTTACTTTTATTTATAAACTATCCTTCTCCCACTTAATTTGTTTAAATCATATTCTCTTAATAAAACGTCTTGTTGGTCAGTTTTTTTTTTCCTTTTAATTTTTATTTTTCTCTCTCTTTCTTTTTTTCCTTCCTTTTTCTATATTTTTATCCTTTTTATCCTAATATACATTTTTTATTTATCGGTTAATTTCAAATAATAAAGAACCTATATACAAATATTTGAAAAGAAGATAATACAACTAGTATTTCAATTTTAAATTTTAATGTAAGAGAAATACCAACATCACTCTCTGTATTCATTATTTGACACGTGAATTATACTATATTATTTTTTATTTAAATAATAATATATTATGTTAGTGAAGTTCATGTGTGAAATAATAATTACAGAAAATGACAAAAGAGAGTAATGCTATACATTTTTCTTAATGTAATTCACGCCCCCTCAAAAATATGTTTGGTCAGGTTACGTTTGGTTGGAGGATTCAAACCATGATTTGAATCATGGTTCATGATTCGCTACAGTGTTTTCTCTCACAAAAAATACACGTAAATAAAAAATAGTTCTAATCACATGATTTTAATCTATAAACTAAACGTAGTGTTCAAATATTGTCTATAGTTGTTAAGCGCTTGATTTGAGTTTATCTCATTTAATTAGCCTAGTATGATATATACTTTGGGAATCTCAACGAGCAAGAAGGACACTTGAAATGCACTAATTTATTAGTCATACAAGTCTAGGCCCTTTCAACTAAAACAGAGGCCATTAACAATAGGGCGCAGAAAGAATTTATGGCCATGGAATTTGCATCTGAAAAGTCAAGAGATCAGTGCTAAAGTGGGATGAGAAACAGCTTTGAATGCTGGCCAAAGTTGAGTTGTAGAGGAAAAGAATTCGTGGAGAGAGAGAGAGAGAGAAGACTGAAACGTGAAGGAATGGCAAGAATCAAAGAAATATGCAAACAGATGGAAAGGCAGATATAATCCACGTGAGAAACTAGGCCCCTTTAATTCATTAATTTGAATTTTTAATTTAAATTAAAATGTAATTTGATGTGAAAATTTTTTACTGTAATAAAAAAATTAAATGTAACTGTTTTTAAGAGTTTTTTATTATTACAAAACTCAAATCGATTAAATAAATGAGACGTAAGGTTGAGTGCATTACGGTTCCAATAATAAATGCTACTATATTCACAACCCTTTCGTAAGTTTGAGAGCCAATTTTTATTTTAGAGACATCCAAAAAAAATTGAAAATGCAACTATGGTCGATTTCAACAAATTTTATATTTAAAATTTTATGCTAGACAGTAGGACTATATTGTTACTCGTAACATTTATATTAAATTCTATCAATTTTGCATGCTTTACATTTTTATATGATGATTTTAATTAAATTTAACATTAAAAAATATGCGTTATCATAACTAATATAGAAATTTCATACATTGTGGCGATCTTAATGATAAATGGATCGATCTTTCATACTCTGTCATTTTCAATTTATACGCATTCATATAGGTAAATATCTATTTTAATTTACGACCAAATAGGGAGATTTTAGTTGTAATAGACAATTGGCAAACAATAATAATACGGAGAAAATGAAAGGAGGACTATACTACCATGATCAATCTGTTTTCCTGTGTTCAGGATTTTTTTTTTTTTTTTAACGGAGAGTTGAGGATAATTTTAAAATTTGTCTAATTTATTTGTTATTATTTCCACAATTAAAAGATGAAAAGCTGTGAATTTTAAACTACTTGACCTCCTGGAAAGTTCAAAGAGATATTAAGAGAAAGAAAAATAGTTAAGGACACCACTGTTATTAAACATCATCATTTAATAAAATGTGAGTTCTATTTATGAGTCTCACATTGTGGGATTCATATTTTATTAGATGATTATATTTAGTACTGTCGGTGCTATATAACATTATTATAAAGGAAAACATTAATTCGTAAACTTGTAATATTTTTCTTTTTATTTTTTTATTCTTTTATTTTTACACAAAACACAGGTGAGGTTGTAATCTTGTAAGTAACGTTCTATATGACAAAAATCTATTTGTTATTTGAAATGCACTATCATTGCTTTTAAATCTCAAAAGAGAAAAATCAGATAAAAATAAAGTCAACTTTGTGAATAAAGACAAAAGCATAGGGAGAGGATGAAGCGATTTAATTTAAGATATATAAGATAAAATTGTAGCTTTTAAATCCCTTTACATTATCGGATCTGAAAATTTTAATCTTTTTGGGGAGTCAATTTCCTAGAGTCGACAATGCCTATACTTATAGAGATTTTTCAAATTTCAACCCAAAATTAATTAACAATTTATTGCTATGTCCTAAGAGTATACTACTTGGTATCTTATCGACCTTACCTAATTCACATTATACATTCATACAAAAAAGTCAAGATAGAAATACAACAAAAAATTGAAAAAAAAGGAAAAAAGGGTTTTTTTGGTAGATTGATCTATTAATAGAGTCAGTTTCTGATAATTTATTTGGTTAGTGTATGCGTACCATGATTTAAATTTTAGTTCGTGATTTACTACAATATTTTCTTTCACAAAACTACATGTAAATCGAGAATAATTCTGAATTATAATTCTGAATTTATGAACTAAACGTAAAATCACTTAGGCATCGTTCATTTCACCGATTCGAGTTTTCACTTTCAGTTTTGTTACAGTTAAAAGCTCTCAGAAAAAAGTCACATTTAACTTTTTTTATTACACTTAAAAATTCTCACATAAAATCACATCTCAACTCAAATTAAAAACTCAAATCATTGAACTAAATGCTGCCTTAAAATATACAAACTCTCACATAAAATCACATCTCAACTCAAATTAAAAACTCAAATCATTGAACTAAATGCTGCCTTAAAATATATAAAATAAATAATTTTTAATATAAATTTAACAGTTCAAAATAAAAAACTATGTAATTTATTTATTTTTCAATTCAAACACATAAACAAAAAAAAAAAAAAAAAAATCGGAAGAAAACAAGAAAAACAAAAGAAAAAGAAGAGAGTGGAGAGAAGGAAACAATGTGGACGTTGTTTTCTATTTTGCGAACATATTGCACAAGAAGACGTGACCTTTGCCATTGAAAACGCGCAAGCTCTTCCTATCTCTTTCTTTCCCTTTCTCTCTCTTTCCTTGGCGTCTTCTTCATGTCCTTTCTTTCCTTCTCGCAGAATATACATATCGCTTATATATACCCACACACACACACACAATATATATATTTGTGCTTTTCTTTCCCCATTCAACTGGACCGAATTCCCAGCAAAACCCACCTCCTTAAACCACCCAAAAAAAGTTGTTTTTTTTTTCAGCTGAAAATACAAGAGATTTTCGGATTCAAGTCAATATTGGATCTTTGCCAAATATATTTCCACAATATACAGAAGATTGTTTTTTTTTTGGCCCGTTAATGGATCTTCGAATGACATTGATTTTGCTCGGCGGTTTGTTGTTCTTCGCTCTGTTTTCGAGTGCCTCGGCGAACTTTGTTTTCCCAGTTGAGCATAAATTCAAGGGCAAAGAGCGTTCTTTGAGCGCATTGAAGGACCACGATGTCCGCCGTCACCGGAGAATTCTCTCCGCCGTGGATCTGGAATTGGGCGGCAATGGCCTCCCCTCTGAAACCGGGTATGTTTTTTCTTATTTATTTATTTAATCAAATTTTGGAGGACAATTTTTATTTTTCTTCTTTGTAATATTTTTCAATGAATTATTGGCTACCACCATTACGAGCAATAATGATTTTAGATTTCTCTGTTTAGGTTATAGATGCTGGGTTGACTTGCTTTTAAGACTCAATTTTGTATTGAGAATTGTGAATAATTTACAGGATTTGGTCTTGAGGTATCAATTCCACGTAGATTGCAGGAGCTTTTTGTTATTTTTGATTCTTTTAAAGGTTGGATGCAATAATTAGCAAAATTCATATGTTTGGTTATTTTAGGTTTTCATGTCAGGTACTTGGTTGACTCAAGTCAATTAGATCCATAACACAAATTTCGGTTGAATTACTATTTCTTCCGAGAGTTGTTGGTTTATTGTGATTACTTTATTGGTATGTGTATATATAAGGATAAAATGGCATAGAGAATCTTATATTGTTACCTATTCGGCCTATGAAGAGTGAAATTTTAAATTATGTTCTGTGTGATGAAACTCAAATAGTAAAAATTTGTCAAGTGCAATCATTTCTGTTCCAATTTGGCTGCTGCTAATTTTGTTGGTTGGTTTAGGCTGTACTATGCGAGAATTGGGATTGGGTCTCCTTCAACAAATTATTATGTGCAAGTTGATACAGGCAGTGACATTTTATGGGTGAACTGTATTGGCTGCGAGAAGTGTCCGAAGAAAAGCAATCTTGGTGTACGTCTCTCTATTCTTACTGTTTCCTTTACTGGATGGATCATGGTTTTTCCATTTTTATTCCGTGTCATTGCGGAATATTACTTGCATTTTCATATGTTTTGGAGTGCTGCGAGTCTTATCATGTTTGCCGGATTATGTTGATGCTTCGTAGAAAAGACGTTTATTATTTTGAATTTATACAACAGATAGATCTCACATTATATGATCCAAAGAGCTCCACAACTTCAAAATACGTTAATTGTGATCAAGATTTTTGCACTTCCACATACGATGGTCAACTTCCTGGTTGCAGGCCAGAGTTGCTGTGCCAATATAATGTTGTTTATGGAGATGGAAGCTCAACTGCCGGATACTTTGTGAAGGATGCTTTACACTTCAACAAAGTGACTGGAAACCGTCAAACGGCAACAACAAACGGGAGTGTAATATTCGGGTGAGTTTCGTTTCTAGTATTGCTCTTTACTGTGGTTGTTACAGTTCTCCTGAAGATATTAGGGTCTTCATGCGTATATACTTAACTGCCTCTTCTGGAGTAGGTGTGGAGCTAAACAATCTGGGGAGCTAGGTACATCTTCTGAAGCCCTTGATGGAATACTTGGTTTTGGACAGGCAAATTCGTCGGTGCTTTCACAGCTTGCTTTAGCTGGAAAGGTGAAAAAGGAATTCGCACACTGTTTGGACACTATAAGTGGTGGTGGAATCTTTGCCATTGGGGAAGTGGTGCAGCCACGGGTGAATAAGACTCCATTGGTGCCTAATCAGTGAGTGATGTTATATTTCTGAGACTTTTCGTTGTATAACTTGCATTGTTTTTCCCTGGCTGTGTAATTCATCTTTATATTGCGATTTAGAGGAACCTTCCAAGAGTCATGTAGCAACATATGAACATTACTGTTACAAGTCAAGTTTTATGATCTGTATGCTTATCTAAGAAGTTTTTGCTTATCAACATGCTCTTCTTTTCTCAACCAGGCTAAGTCTTAAGATATGAATGTTGTCATAATTTTACTTCCATTAACTATCTTAGGGCGCACTACAATGTTAATATGAAGGAAATTACGGTGGGTGGTGATGTTCTCGACCTTCCCACAGATACATTCGACACGGCAGATGGGAAAGGAACTATTATTGACAGTGGTACAACCTTGGCTTATCTTCCAGAGGTGGTTTATGATTCCTTGATGAGTAAGGTACACCGATGTTGTTGAACCACTATACGTTTGAATATTTTTTATCTTTTACTTTTATTTTTTGAGTTTGATTTACATATACTTAATACATTTTTTTTTTCTAAATATTATCAGGTTATGTCTCAGCAGCCTGGATTGAAATTACATACTGTTGAAGATCAGTTTTCCTGTTTTCAATTTACTGGAAAGTAAGGACCTAATGGCAACTATTACCATGTAGTATCTTTATTTTAGCATTTTGATGCCATTTAAGAAGTTAATTTTTCTATAAAGTTTCTTCAATATGAGTGATGTTTATCTCTTGAGCTGCAAGTAACCACCTTATTTGTTGTTGTAATCTGCCCTTGCAGTGTTGACGATGGATTTCCAATTGTTAAATTCCGTTTTGACAAGTCTCTTACTTTGACAGTTTATCCTCATGAATATTTGTTCCAGATTCGTGTAAGTAATTTTTTCACAAATCTATGTTATTCAAAGACGCCATGTCAATCCCTAAACCCCCTTACAAAATACAATCACCTTCCTCAAGGGATTCTTTGCTAATAAACATTTTTCACCGCATTCTATAGGAGGATGTTTGGTGCATTGGTTGGCAGAACAGTGGGTTGCAATCCAAGGACGGAAAGGAAATGATTCTTTTAGGAGGTAAAGTATAGTACTACTCGTTCTAAACAATCAATAGACACCGACATATTAGGATTGTTTAAGGCATTATATCATAGCTTGAGCTTGATGAATAGATAATCTGATTGGTTGGAATTCTTTAATACAGAACCTAAAATTACTAATTATTGGTCTGTGTGTAATTCCCATATATTTACGTTTCTGACTGTTTACAAATGCAGATATGGTGCTTTCAAATAAGCTAGTTTTATATGATCTTGAAAATCAATCTATTGGGTGGACAGAATATAACTGTGAGTATCTCTGAATGTATTCTGCGTTCTTCTTTTCTTTGATTGTAGTTAGTCACTGGCTTGTCCTTTTGGCCTTAGTCCTTTGAATCCTGATGTTGAAGATGTGAAAAATAGATAGCTGTGGAGACATTCTCAATTTTTTTAATTTTTTTTTTTTATTAAATAGGTTCGACAAGCATTAAAGTGAAGGATGAAAATTCAGGAGCAGTGTACTCTGTAGGTTCCCACAATCTCTCGTCAGCTTCCAAGGTGATAACTGGAGGAATGCTGACATTCTTTTTGTTACTGATTGCCATGCTGCACAATTTTATTTGTTAGACCATTTGAACAAAGTAACAAAAGAACATTCACAATCTTTGTTGTACCATAATTTATTCAATAGAAATGTGTGCTTTGGTGGTACATCATTTTTTTCCCCCCTTTTTTTTTTTTTTTTTTTTTTCAGTTCTTGGGAATAAACGTGTTTTAAGTCCTTTTTTTTCTTTTAATGAATAAATTTGCTTGGTGGTACATTATTTTACCCTCTCTCTCTCCTTTTAGAGATAACACCATTATTACCTAATTTATTGTTCTTACTAAACTATTTTGGATAAAAATGGTAAATACAAATTGAAATACAATTTAAATAAGACATAAAACGATTTTTGTTCACAAAACAAACTTAAATTTAATTGATACTGCCATGTACAAGATGGGTAATTACACATATGAATACAAGTATAGGCGAGACAGGCTTTACAAGGTTGTCCTCAAAAACTGTACAACGAAATACAGAACTGCCAGAAGGAGTGCAATCTGGTATGCATCTCTTTGAAAGCTGTCGTCCCTCTGAAAGAACTGAATGAATGAAAAAAAACAAAATGCCAATAAATTTCCACAAACAAGAATTTTGGTTTCAAATTAGCCAAAAAAAAAAAAAAAAAGGAAAAAAAAGAAAGAGGAACTAACCTTTGTTGGATCACCCAACGGGTCTGGATAAATATCCGTGTTTTGCTTTTCTTTTGGGAAACTGCTGGACAGATTTTTCACAAGATCGGCCAAGTCTTTCGTGCCCTCAGACGCGGCAAAAAGTCGACGGGATGTCCAGAAATATGCCTGAGCAATGAATGATGAAGATGATAAATCCCATGACTCTTCATGCTCAATCACTTGGCCACTAATCTGGTTTAGAATAAACTTTGAGTTGATCCTCATCACCAAATCTCCTCCAATACCAGCAATGAAAGACTTTGGCTTTCCTCTGATCGTCCACTTGATAATTAGCTCACTGGTTGATAACATAACCATTTCTTGCACACTCTAGAACATAAAAGAAAGAAAAATGATAAAAAATAATACCATAATCATAATTTATTAGGAAAAAAAATAAAGCAAATCTACAAAAGCATAGATGTCTCTCTCACCACAGAGGGTTTGTCTAGTGCATTGGTTACCCATAAAGGTCTCTTGTATTTTTCACGGCCTGTAAAACTTCTAACTGGATCCTGCATTTTGAATGATAACGTACTATCAAATTATTCAGAAACTATACATGAAAAATAAGCATTAGCAAAAGAAAAGATGTTAGGATTGAGCATATATTGGTCCTTAGTTAAATTAATCTAAAATAGTCATGGGCTAAAACTGCAGGAAAAGAAAAGTTCAGCCAGTAATCTGTTTTAGAAAAGGTTTAGCCAGCATTGTGATAATGTTCACAATTCAGTTCCCCTAAGTTAACTTCTATAACAAATTTATAAAAGAATAATATGAGTTCTTAACTATTATTCCAACTTTTTGATATTAACTGAACGTTAGACAATTGAAAGATTTATCCAAATAGTTTGAAAGACCGTTTTTTCTGTATTCGTGCATATTTTATCTGCACAAAGTTACATGATAATAAAGATCACTGGTGTCCCTGAACTTTGGAGTCATTTCCAGTTCGCCCTTCAAATTTTAAAACTTTCACTTTACTCCCTGAGTTTTGAATTGTTCTCATTTAATCCATTCTGTTGAAATTTCTGTTAAAAACAGATAGAAGAAACGGAGCAATGCAGTCACGTAGTCTTTTTGTTTGAATATCTATTTATAAATCACATGACCACACTTAACTACTTTTTTAATGTCTGAATTTAACATAAATTCTTATAAAATGGCTTAAATGAGACTAATTCAAAATTTATAAAAGAAGAGTTTTATTATTTATGAGGTAAATTGATAATGACTCCAAAGTACATGAGGCGCCAGTGAGATTAAGCCTAATAATAAACTGACTGACTGACCTTGTATCTAACGGAAATGGCAAAAGTACCAAGGGCACGGTTGCCTTCTCTAAGTTCTAGGATATCACGAACAAGTTGTCTGGCCGTTGATTCCACCAACGGACTACTTATACACTCAAACTCATTGCACAAGTCCCCAAACTCCATTCCATCTACTATCTTATCAGCTTCTGATCTCTCACTTGTCACTTCTGTCCTACTAGAATCATTTGTAACTGCAACATAGTAACAAAACATTAACAATGATAATAATAAAATGGAGCAATTTGTTCATGTTTATTCTCAGTTGAACGTAAACCAACACAGAATTAATGTTAAGATCTCAAATTTATTTCGGAACAGGTGTTGTTGAGACAATGGCCAATCTTTAATGAAAATAAACAAATTTATAGGCACGACAATGGTATGAAAATCTATAATCATCATCTTTTCATCAACCAAAATGGGTATTAAACACATAATCTAAGAACTCATTTCTGCAGCTATGCTGTGCAATTTTTATTTTTTATTTTACTTAAAAATTGCTATTTAAGTACAAGGGCGGTTTTCTTTAGTTTTTAAGGCTGAGAAAATATCAGTGTTTAACATGGTATGATCCATTTAACAAATGTGAGTTCTTTTTTTTTTTTTTT